CGCATCCTACTTGAAATAATCATACAGCAGCTCTTGTCCACTTCAAACGAGATCGTTTAACAAAGGATATCACACAGACCCAAGGCAGTGGTTGGTGGCTGACTTTTTTCTTTTTCCCCTTCTATTTATAGACTGTAGAAGGGCTTATTAGATGAGAAGAACGTATCTGTTATTTATTAGCCTGGGGCGGAGGTTAATAAGTATGAGGACTTTACAAATAGGGCTGATCAAGAGGTACTCGACTTCCACCAATCACAAAAGGAACGATGGCAGAGCCAAGCAAAAGTTCTCAAAGAAGAAGGTTAGGTTTCAACTCAACCCATCCTATCTGCCACATGGTCAGCTCTTAATGAGAAAGCCTGCTGCAGCTGTTTGCAAAGCTTGCACAATTTAAGGCCCAGGCAAAGAGCAGACAATGGTAGACAACACTTTTTTTTAAACAAGTCCATTCCAGTACTTCCCTTCCACAGACAATTCCAAATAAGGAACAGTATAGTCATCAAAAAAGTCTGCTGCACAAGACCCTCTGGAGCAGCCCTATACATAAAACCAACCCCATGTGCAAGCTGCTGATTGTCTCTCCAAATTCCTCCAGCTTGACTGCATTTCCCTCCTTTCAGCCTGCAGTTTTTTCCTGGAGCAGTGCAGTAATTCCCACTACTTGTGGTCATCTAAATCCCCCTCGGACACTTCCAATGGTGCACAGCATACTGGCTCGTGGACAATTTCTCATCCAAAGTATCGAAAGGTTTAAAACTCAATTCATTCAAGAAACTTCCAAGGCAAGTTTCAGCCTACGGCAACACTTTGCGTGCCATAAATCAGGCCATATAAACCGGTGAGAGACTGTCAAACATGATTCCTAACAACTGTACGAGCAGCACCACTAAAGTAAGCTGAGAAGGAAAAGCCAAACAAGAGGGGTTTGTAACATATCAGCAAAACATACTCCAGCCCATCAGACAACAGCTGCAACCACTCTTGCAAGAAATACAGTTGGAATGAGATGATGCAGCTTAATTTTCTAAATGAAGTTGGTATCGCAATTTCAGCAGATTTTTTACCTCTGCTTTGCTTTAAATGAGAATTAAAAAAAAAAAAAAAAAAAAAGAAAGATATGGCAATGCACACTGAAGAGTTAAAAGTACAGCAGGGGATGCCTCGTGAGCAACAGGTACTTTATTCTGGTCACCTATCATTATGCCTAGGACTCTACAATTTCATGAACAGGTAAATTCATCCAGTCACTATGCTTTGGGAAGTACAGAACTATCATTGCTTATGAAACCATTAATTACAAGTGCTAACTGACGTTACTGGGATCTCCATTCAGCTGGCACTCATGTTATGCAGAACAATCCTCAACTTGTTCCATCAGGCATCTCTAACCCTCAAGGTTTTCTAGAGCAGAAGGTCATTGAGCCGCTGGATTCCTTCTGGAACTGTTTCTTTCACCTTTTACAGCTCTCATTCCTCACACAGGAGGTTGGAGTTACTGGAGGATTTGTTACTGGGCTCTCACTTTCCTCATTCTTTTGGTAAGAAACTTCAAAAGAAGCCTGTTTTTCAACAGAGAAACTTCCTCTTTGCTGCAACCAGTGGTCCCTCTCTCCATTCCATTTCACTAAGGTTTTATGCCAGTGAATCTCCGTTATTTAAATGAGTTACATATGCATCATGCTTGCATACAAGCATAGACACAGCGAGGGAGGTAAGGTTTTCCAGCAGAGCTGTATTCCAACAGCTAACTCCACAAAAGGCTGATCTGGTATTTCCTTGCTCCATCCTCAGCCAAAGAACCCCTTTGTTTTTCCTCTACACAAGCATTAGTGCTGTTGTGACTTCATGAACTTCTTTAGGCAGCAGACTTCATTGGAGAAGGCAATAAACTGACACTGACATCCCCTTCCAGCAGCAGACATCCTACATCTGCTTAGCTGTATTGTAACAGTTCAAGCATTAGAAGTTTCAGCTTGCAACTAAAAAGTTTTGTTTTGGAGGAGCCATGTGCACAATCTGCTTTCTTTTATTGGAGAACTGCCAAAGAACTCTGGCCTTCAAGCACCAAGGACAAACGTCAGCGCTGTCCCTTAGAGGCGCAGCACACAGCTGGCACTGCTGCTACAGGGTAACTACTGTCCTGTACACCGCATTGTACTACTCAAACCCAGGGCTCCTCCGGAGTCTCCAGAAGCCAAAGGACTGGACTAGACACCTCTGGGGCCTTGTGACAGTGACATGAATCTCCCTGGGCTGACTTGTGTGCCGTCACCCTGCACCAACATACAGTTGACACAGCAGAGACCTCTCACAACACTTCTATCTGCCTTGGGCTGGAATAGCGTTTCCTGAGGAGCCTTTACTCAGTTCTGGTCCTTGGCTGTAAAATAGGATCAGAAAATGAAATTACAGCTTTACTCATTTGAAGGTTTGGTAGCAACAGAAAAGCACTCATTTTTGCATCCCAAGTGCTAAGTGGGACCACAAACTAGCAGATGGGATGACAGTGTGCTTCCAGGCCCAGCAGATAGCCCCCAGTACACCCACAGGGACAATCATCCTGTGCCATCTTCCCACTGGCACTGCTCTGCTGCCTGAAGCTGAGTGAGGGGAATGGCAGAGGGTTGAGGATGCTGGGCAGACATAACCCAGCATGAGCTGGGCTGTGCAGCCTGGAGATGAGAAGGGAACCCAGGGACACCTGAGAGTAGCCTTTCAGTATCTGGGGGGGGCTATAGAAAAGTAGACATTCTTTAGCAGGGTCTGCTGTGACAGGACATAGGGAAATGGTTTCAAAATAAAAGAAGCTGTTTTCTACAATAAGAGCAGCAAGGCACTGGAGCAAGTTTCACAGAGCCCCATCCCTGGAGACAGCCAAGGTGAGGCCGGACGGGGCTCTTAGCACCTGATGGAGCTGTAGGTGTCCCTGCTCATTGCAGAAAGCTGGACTAGATGACCTTCAAGGCTCCCTTCCAACTCAAACGATTCTATGGAGCACCCTGGGACTGCCCTTTGTTTTGACACTCAGTCTGAAAATCCTCATGAAAAACTTGGTATCATCAGCTGAAATAAAAGCATTCCAGTCCTACCGTACCCCTCACACAGCGAGCCTCCCAAAACCCTTCCAAAGCGTTACCTCATCTGCAGCACTTCATGTATTTATTACCTCCAAGGCATTTCCAAAACGTCCACGCCGTCACGTTGCTCTCCTTTGCACTTTATCACCATTGCTATTTGTTAGACTTTTCTGCATTACTTACCAGCGCAGCATCAGGAACGTGCCGACTTAGCGCATCGCTCGAAGGAACGCAGCCCCGCAGCCTCCCTTCGCACCGGGCCCCGCCAGCGCACTTCTTCCTCGCACAGCCGGACCGGGGGCCGCTCCCAGCGCCGCCCAACACGGCCGGGCCCAGCGAGGGCTCCTCGTGGCAGGCGCCGTCCCCGCACCGCGCGCGGGAGCCCCGGCCGCAGCGCCCTCCCTCAGCCCCTCGCGGCCGCCGCGTCCCCAGGAAACGCCGCCCCCGCCGGCCCGGACCCCCGCCAGACCCAACCCCGCGCCCGTCCGCCGCTCACCTGGAGGAGAAGGGACAGGGCGGGAAGAGGAGAGGGCAGCCGGCGCCGACTCGGCCTGCGGCGGCGGCCGGCGCTGCTACCGAACCAAGTTTCCGGGCGGGGAAGAAAGTCGAAACGTACGCGAGGAGGAGGCAGCCCAGCCCGCCCAGGTGCTCCCGCCCGGCGCGGTGCGGCCCGGCGCGGCCCTTCCCTCCCTCCGCCGCGCTGCCCTCCTCCTGCCGGTCCGGGCCGCCCACAGCCCTGCCCCCGCCGCCCGCTCTCCGCGCCGCTTTCCCGCCTCACCTCGGCGGGCGGCGGTGGCTCCCCCCGCCCTGAGGCGGACAGGTGCGCGGCCCTGGGAGCGGCGTAGTGCGTAGCAGAGGGCAGTGCGGTAACGCAGCAAGAGAGCTGCTTCCACAGGCACTCAGCCGGTAAAGAACACCAAACTGTCGCCTTACTGGAGGTTTTATTAGCGAGGAAACCTTTGTACATCAACAAACGCAATGGGCAGCGCAGGTGGAAGCGGTGCACGCCAGTCTCCGTTCAATCGTTCCGGCATGCCCCACAGCTAAGTAAACCTGAATAAAAATGTGAGCGCTTTCAGGGCCCTGAACGCATCTCTGTTTCTGTAGGGGCTGGAGTTTTGTGGCATTTAGGCAAAACTGTCTGAGTAATCATGAAATCACAGAGTAATAGAAGGGTTGGAAGGGAATTGAAGCCCACCCAGTCCCACGCCCTGCCGTGAGCTGGCTGCCCCGGCCCCCCTGACCTCAGGCACCTCCAGGGAGGGGGCACTCACAGCTCTCCGGGCAGCCTATTCAGTACTGGTCCAGAGGAAGAAGATGGCTCTTAATTTTAAACATGGACTTACTGGGCTCCATTTCCTAATTCCGTGTTAAATTTGTTATCTTTTCCATTTTGTAACTCAGTAAATCCATTGTCTCTTCTTGTGGTGTTTCAATGAGGGGCTGAGCAGCATTACCATGTGAGAGGATTTTCTTTTTGCAGAGGTGAGATTGTAAAAGACTCACCAAAAATGAAAAATACAGTAAGGCACTTTCTTCTGTTTACTGAGATAATTGTAGGAAATCCAGTGGATCCAAAGCACACCTGGCCAGCAATGTGTCCCTGCAGCCCAGAGGGCCGGTTGTATCCTGGACTGAAACAAAGGCTTGGATTGTTTCTACAGTGAGGGTGGTGAGGCAGTGGAGCAGGTTGTTCAGAGAGGTGGTGGTGCTCTGATCCCTGAGACACTCAAGGCCAGGCTGTGCAGGGCTCTGAGCACCTGATGGAGCTGTGGGTGTCCCTGCTCACTGCAGAGGAGTTGGACCAGATGACTTTGAGGCACCCTTCCAACTCAAATGATTCTATGATTCTGGAGTATCTCACTAGTTTGAGACTTTGTGAAAGTTTGTTTTTGGGGAAGGAATGGTGGTCAGCAGCAGGCTGGAGCTGTGTAACTGCTGGAATTGCATTGCCTTGCCAGCTCACTCAGGAGCGCCAGAGCTCCATGTAGAGGCATCAGGCTGTGTCCGCACTGTGAGCCAACATCACATCAGAGTCTGTGCCCATTAAGCCAGAATTCATTTATATTGAACATTGGCTTGCATCTAAGCAGATATAGGCTTAGGCCATGCTCTGTGAAGCACTCTGGAGCAGAGAAGTTTAAACCTTAGCACAGAACCAGTCTCATTCATTCAGCCTGCAATTCGGTTGGTGAGGACAGGAAACGTGTGGGTGAACTTGGGGTATGGAAAAGACAAACCCCAAGGAAATTTCAGCTGGATGCAAGCCTTTAAAATTAGGAATCTCTGTCTGGTTAGCACACACTGGAGATGTTTATCATGTCCGATGACCTGTTTTTCTGAGTGGACAACGTGCCCACGTATAATTAAGATATGGTGAAAGTTTATTGTATAAGTGTGCTGGAATTTTGGTTTGGCTTTGCAATAAAGGGATCACTGAGTCACAGTTGCTTAACAGACCACAGAGGATACAGGTCTCTGCTGCTGAGCTACCATAAATATAAAGAATTCAAATTAATTTATTTCCCAGTCCAGGCAAAAGCGTCTATGCTGTAAATAAGGCTGTGGCTTGATGACACAAAGCCTTTGCTGTGTGATTGGCTCCTAGTTGCACCTTGTTCCTGCAATGCAGCATGCCACTCCTTAGCTGTGCCTGCAGCTCTATGTGTGGCTGAAATGGGAACTGGATCAGGATACCAATCCATCAGAAAAACAACCCATGTGAAAATGTGTAAATATATTTTAAATTTTATAAACATATTTAAAATAGACGCATGTGTTCTTCAAGTTCCTTTATCATCTAGTTTATAATTCAAAGGCTATGGATGGATTCTGTGCTTCCTTACAACTACAGGAGCAGGCCAAAGTGTAGCAACGAGGTTAAATGTGAAACAGCCTGGTGAGGAAGGATTTGTTCCTCAAACAACGGTTGAATATTGAGCCTGTAAAGCATAACTGGATTGCTTTACAGGATTGTTGTGCAAGCAGTTAATGTGTTGTGTGTGTTTGAATAGCATCTCATACTGTTTGAGACATACACATTTTGCATTAAATACAGCTCAACAATTGGGATAGTTTTTCTGGTAGCACTCAAATTATAACCCAGGTTAACCATACATTGAAGAGAAGGTCAGTGTGATGTCTCTTCCCTGGCACCTTTACAAACCCTGCTGTCTGTTGGTCTCCATTCTCTAGTGCTATTGATTTCAGGACACCAAAGTTCTTCTGTGGAACTCAAGGAGTCTTTTTGCTGTTGTTCATTTGAACTGTAAGTTTTGTTAATTTACTTGTGTACTTTTTGGTAACTAAGAAAACTCCCTGTAATAAAATACAGCAGTCTCAGTTCCAGCCTCTATCTGCTCTGACTGCTGTAATCACCTGCCTGTGATGGCATCATTTGTACAATAACCCGTCACACTATGTGCAGAAAGACTGTGGGCCACATTCCAGCATTATGCACACATCAGCATTAAAATGCCACTTTCTGATGCACAGAAGTAGATACATCAAATATACTCGCATGTTTATGGAGTATTACTATTTTTTTATTTAACATGAAGGTTTGGAAAGCATTACTTGTAAAATCTGATTGTGAAAATAGAAAATGTGTAAACAAATGATAGGATAAATAAGAGCAGGAAAACTGAATGGAGAAGCAAGATCACACCAGGCAAAGAGTTAGAGGTTAGTTTGACGCCATTAATAATGCATAAACCTCGGTCAACGTGTGTGTTTCTATCATCCTCTTGTGGGAAGGTACAAAGCACAAATGACTGCACGGTAATAATTTGGGAACCAACTTTGATGTTTCATCACAAACAAACCTAAATTCCCAACCCACACACAAGAATGTAAACACACTTTAAAAAAAACATCCCACAAACAAGGAGAGAGAGTCATCCCAGGAATTTGTGATTAAATGGCATGGAATCTCCCTTTTGCAGAAAGCAGACCAATGGAGGTACGCATGCGTGAAGGCATGGTGGATTCAGCTAAAACCAAGGTGCTAAACACATCACTGGAATTCATCTCCCACATTCTATAGCACTTTCGTTCCTTTTACACTGTTAATCTGCTGCAGATTCCCCTTATGTATGCATTGCATCCTGCGTATGCAGGAGGTGGCTGGTGTGCCATTGTTCCAACTGTATAAAGGAGAGCAAGCAGTGTGTTAAGAAAGATAGCGTGAGAATTTTGTATGTTAGTAATAACTTATGGCTGCTTTACTTTCCCGTTCTTCCTTGCGGTGTTTTGTTAACAGTGGTTAGTTATTAACTATGCTGGGTTCCTTTATTTGTTGAAGCTGTAAAACGCTTTCACTAGAAGTAAACAGATTGATTCTCTGCTTGTAGAAAAGTGTGTTTGGCAGATACAAAGAGGACATCTGGCTTTCCCTGGGAGGGGAGTAGCCCATCCTGCTTGCTACAGTGATGCAGATATGATAACATGACACAAAAGAATTGAGGTACGCGAGGCAAATCGCGTTTCACGTTTGTTGCTTTGAATAACATCGATGGCTATTTTGTCATTGTGAAATTATACTGTTGAAATGCTGCAGCTACTTTTAAACCAGCAGATTTTTTCTGATCACAATCCTTCTGTTGCAGCATTTTAAACAATGCTTAAAAAAAACAGCACCTATCAAGGAAGTACAGTAACAGGTAAAATAGCATTTTATTGGGCTGATTTTCATGTCCTACTGAATTTTCCATTATTATTTGACAGGACTGGATTTGATGTTTTGTAGTGCAGAGCCCTGTTACCTTGGCTCCCTTCCCTTTATTAACTCCTTGTGGAGGGAATGTAGAGGGAAAAGAGATAAGGTACTCTCAGGTTGCTAGCAGTTATTTTAGTAAAACAAGTGCAGTGCTCAGTTTTACTTCCTAGCCCCTAATTACAGTGCTGTTCTCTTAATTAAAACTGATAACAAATAGTAAGTAGACTCTATACAAGAGTATTATCTGTATAATTGTGTGCCTGGGAGAACCATTCTTCTCAAAAGTTGTATTAACTAAATAAGGTGTTTCTGAAGAATTTAGAATTTGACTTGTAGCCACTTTTGTTCTGTTAGCCGTTCAAAAACAGATGCTGACTTTCTGCCCTCTGTGTTTGTGAACACCGTATGCCTCTTGGACAGTTGAGTCGGGAAAAGGCTGTGTATGTCAAGGGATATTATCCTGTCCACTAACAGGAAACTCTTCCCCTTCAGGTCCCAAGTGAGGCCATGGCAGCATGCTGCAGTCTTCCTGGAGGAGCAGGAGTCACAGGAAGTCTGTAGCACTACTCCTAGTGCACACAAATTCCCTGCCGCCGTGGTTTGGAAGCAGCAGGAAGGTGAGTGTCTGTCCTTGGGAGTATAGAGCATAGTGTGATATTTTTGGAATGTCTTCAAGTCTTGCTCTTTAATTATTTGGAGATAATAGAGCATCTTTATTTCTCCAGAGTAAATGTAAAGAGCCCACAGTTGGAACTTAGGGGATTTTAATCATCATTTGTTTTGAATTCTCTGCTAGTTGGTACACTTTGTATAACCACAGCGCCAGTCTCTTTCCAGTCTTGCAAGGTGAGCTCTCTGTTTCAGCAAGGTTATTGCTAGGACAGACACTATGTTCTGCTTGGCCATGCAGCATGTTTTCCTAGAAAGACGTCTACATTTGGAAAATTAAACCAGAGGACCCCTTGCCACAGCAATGTATTTTAAGCACCATTCCAGTGTTTTCTAGCCTGGTTTTGGTGATATTTCATCCAGCTATGCAACCTACACCTACATGTCAATCTAGCCATCATCAGTGGGACAATGAACTTTGATAGCTATATAAAGAATATTATAGAATAAGAATGAAGGTCCTAAAACCCATAAAAACTGGCTTGTTAAGTTCAGGCTGCTGCAAGGACAACAAATGCCAAAGCAATTGAAGATTTGTGTTGGAGAGATCTCCATAATGATTGCTCTGTTTTTGCCTGATTTGCACCTGTTTCTGGAATGGAATATGAGACTCAGTGTCTGTCTGATAGAATATAACACCATCCAACAGGAGAATGAAGAAGCATCTTAATATCAGGATGTTAGAAATGCAAAATATTTTTCTCCCTGGAGCTTTCAGTTACCAAAATTGCTCCAGAACACCTTTGATATTTACAACAATCAATTTTTAATACCAACAATACGCACCTGAATGGCTTGAAAGGAAAAATGTGGGATGGCTGCAAGTCTCATCAAGATCTAACACAGATCTGGATGCATGCTAGTTAAACATACTTGTTCTTCAAAACTGTTCCAGCAGTGTGACATATTTCTAGTGAGATTGTTCCATCTGTATCAAGAAAAAGATGTGTCCTGGGGAAAAACAAAGTAATTGGTATGTGCTACAGCTGTAGCTCCATTTCTAGAAAAGCAGCTAAGTATAAACATTCCTAACTGAATGGGTGGGAAGCCAAGACTGCCCTGCAGCAAAGATACCCACTAAATAGGATTATCTATTAACAAGATAATCCACAAAAAATCTTTTTTCCACAGCACTTAGAAAGAGATCAGAGAAATAAGCAACATAACTACTTAGAGCACAATTATACCATTACAAGAACTTTACTGAAAATGCTGCCGTGGCATCTGGTTGTGAGTTTTTTCCCTCATTCCTAGACCAAGTTATTCCATATCCAAATACTGAGGTTACATTTTTTTAGCTGAAAGTTAGGAACCCTACAGGCTCTCCCAAGGGACCTGCAACTTTAAATGTTTTCTTCTGTTCCTTGCAAGGCCACAAGAGTCAGTGTGAGAAGGGAAGAGTGTGGTCAGCACACACAAATTCAGGGGTTGCATCCAGGATGCTGGCTTAGAAAGATTACTGCACCCCTGACTATAGAGCTTCCTGTAATCCTTGTACTTGTAGATCAATTTAGATTACTATTTGTAGAGTTTGCCTAAAAGTATTATGATGAAAATAAGCTGAGAAAATAGCATAAATCTTTCCTAGGAATGGTTTAATTTTTAAGATAATTATTTCACAACCTGGATCTTTTTCCAGGCTGTTCTTGCTGCCTGTACCCAGAAAATCACAGAATCACAGAATAGATTGTGTTGGAAAGGACCTTAAAGATCATCTGGTTCCAACCCTCTGCTGTGGGCAGGGTTGCCAACTAAATCAGGCACTAGAACAGGTTACCCAGGGTATTAAAGGTATTAAAATACCTTCAATAATTGTTTTAATGAAACCTCAAGAGCTGGCAGGTAAAACTGAACACGAATCCATCATGTATTTATTGAAGTACACATATTGCATCCAGATTAAAACTGCTCTTTTGGCCGTGGTCTATTGTAGCGTTGTGTTAGAAGTCTTGCTTTGAATTCATAATAAATGCAGTAGTCAAAGTGTTGGTCCTTCTCAGAGAAGACATATTTAACAAAAAGCTGCTCTGGGAATATTGTGTGGTGTACCAGAAATCAGCCTTTATTTTGTGTTCTATCCCTCTTATGGTTTTTTTTCAGTAGGTTTAATGGTCGAAGTCATGATTCTGTAGTCTAGAAAACAAAACCACACATGCTGCATCCCTTCCTGAGAAAGGATATTCAAATTATTTATCTGTGTACCAGGGTTTAGGAAAAATTTCTTCAACTGTGAGACTACAATACATCTTAAAAAATGAAGAGTCAGAAATAACATTTTCAGCTCTGAAGCTTTTGATTTCTCAAGCTACATTCCTTATCTTCCATAAAAGTTTCCTTCTGCTGATAATTCCTCTAGCAACTTTTCCTTCTTTGCTCATAATACGTGATCCTTCTTCATTTCTTTTTACCTGCTCATCAAAAAGCCGTTTGCAGGTATTAATTTGCAGATCTGCTGCCTGGCAGTCACCCAGGTTACAGTTCACTTACTGATTTAGAAACCAAGACACACAGAAGTTCAGTTGCTATAGCACTACAAAGAACATCTGTGATGGAGGGCTACATGGAACCCAAAGGTCTGCTGCTGTTCTGACGTACATCAACTTGTGCATTTCTTTATCTCTTTGATAATTATGGGAATTTGCCTGGAAGTCACTTTGTTTTCTACAAAAAAAAAAAAAAGAAAGAAAGAAAAAAAGGAAGGCCTTCTGAATCATTTCACTTCTGCTGGGGAGAGGAAAGCTCATGTGTGGAATTTTTTGAAGAGTTTGCCAGGTATGACTGTGAGCCAAAGGCAGACGTGCTGTGTTTGTCTATGATACGGCTCAAAGTTGTAGTAGTGGTGGTGCAGTGGCAATTAATTTGGTGTGCAGGGTTCACAACCAGCTAAAAGGTAAGTCTGCATTCAATAATTTGATATTATTAAACATATCATAACATGTTTGTTTTTTTTCAATAGAGGCATACAAGAAGCCGCAGGTAAATTTTGCTTTTATTCTGTTTCCCAATCCATGCAGAGAAACATTTATTGTTATGAGCACATACAGGCTGCTAATATTACTAATGCTTGGAATTGTGTTCACTTAGTTGCAACATTTTAGGCACACAGGTATAGCAAATGTGTTTGTGATAGTTTCATCAGATAGCTGCTTTGGCCTGCTTAGCCTAGAAGACTGAGAATTAAAGAGCAATGTATTTATTTATTTGGGAAGCAGCTGTAAATGTGTCCTTAGCAACATTTTCAAAGTTTGATTTGTGTTCTTTTTCTTGCTACATTACTCACAGCCTCTCCCAGTGAAGGCCTTCAGTGACAGGAAGCTGGTAAGCAACTACAGGCATTCTTTCCTTCACTTCAGTGCTTGGCTTACTGGTGAAGGCTCCCCGTACTGCCCTCCGTTACAGCACACACCCGCACTGAGATGCTCAAAGTAGGAGTACCCTCTGCTGGCATGTTGTTGTATTAGGCTGTCCCATTGCTCTTCCTGCTGGTCGTAACAATGCGCATGCTGCTCACTTAGCCTTGTCCCCGTATAGTAATTGTGGAATTCTATTTCAAGAACAGAATTTTATCTCTACTTGAAGTATGCACAATGAAAAGATATTTTATTTTGTCGTTTCTTCTACTGAAAAAAAAAAAAAAAGTACTTCATGATGTAGGTTCAAAAGTACAGTGATATCATAGTTAGGGTTATGATATCATACTACGTTACAAAAGATGCCTTTCAAAGTAAAGCAGTTCCACGTGGAGAGATGTTAGCAACAGATGTCCCTTTGGAGACATTTTCTTAGTTTAATAATCTTTTCTATTCTGCCTAAATTTTATTTATTTTCACATAGGTCATTGTAAGTCATTTCTGTTCCTGCTTTGTGTTTAGATTGTTGACATAAATATTTTCTCCAACAGCCAACATTTTAAACACTGATGGACTTGATACCATTCGTGTTACAGTGACGGCTTGCAGGGATCATGGATCAACAGAGTCTTGAGGAAGAACTTAGCCATAGAAGAGGGATAGGATGAGCATAATTGTACCTTTTCTGCTAGAAAGAAAATAGCAAAGGAGAACTGCTTTTCAGAATGCAGAGACTGGGAAGAAAAAGTTTATTGTGGACCAGGGGTAATATTTGGCTGTTGGCTGCAGGTCCTGTTTACTCATTTTTAGCTGAAGGGAGGCCTTGGGATTGAGCTCTTTTGTGAGAGCAAGTCCTGAACAATGGGAAGTCAGCAGGACTGGGGGAAAGAAGTAGAAATCCCCTGCGGAGCAAGGGGAGAGAAGGAGATGGGGATTGTGCTGGCTGCAGTTTACCCTTCTGGTTCTGACCATTTCCTCTCCTAAGTGTCTTTAGGAAAGAAAAGCCCAGGTTTCCTTCTGCCCCTTATTGCCTGCTGTGTTAACTCGCCTGCTGTCTAGGCATCTGTGGCTTAGAGGAACCAGCTGTCTTCTCTGGGGCCTCTCACAGATGTTCTGTGGGCTCTTTTATAACTGGGCAGATGTTGTAGGTTCATGGAAACCCACATAAAACCATGACATTTGCTTTTAAGACTTCTTTAGTGAAGATTATGTTAAGCAAAACCCACTAGCTCTGGTTTCCATAGAATGTCAGATCCATCTAGAATAATAAAGCTATCACAGAGTAAGCCAGCAATACAGAAGAGATTCTGAAACATCACTTTGTCAGTACAGAAAATATTGATGCTTTTATTATCTGTGTGCATCTCAGAAGCCTTGCAGAAATCTGAATCCAAGGTAAGGCAGTGCTTGATAGGTGCCAGGCCTCTGGGACTCATTCTGAGCTTCACTGCTGCTATCAATTGGTAACAACTGAACTAAGAGCAAAACAACATAAAGTGATTTATTTTCCTGTCCTTGACACCTGGGACCCTTCTTGCACGTGTCATGCTATGAGGCAGCAGTTCTGGAGTTCAGCACCCTCCAGAGGGCCCTGCATC